GACCTGTTATGGGGCCGGCCCCCCGGCCTGCTGCTCCGGCTGCTGGCTGTGCTCCAGGCACCTGGTGGGGACCGCATCTCCGTTTTACTTGGAAGTCTCCTGTAGCCTGTGTGTCCCTGAGCCCTGCACAGCCCCACTGCCGTCCCACTGCCATTTAGGGTGCCAGCGTTTTTGGTGTCTTGTGTCTTTATTGGGAAGGTTTAGAGTCGTCTGGCTCAGCTGTCACCCCACCCCCCCACCCCCAGCGCTGGTGCAGCCTCCCCCCCCCACAGCATCCCTTCCCAGGGTTGCTCCCAAATGGACGTGTGGGGACTCCAGCTGGGTGGTTTCCAGATAGTTTGTGCAGCTGGGGGTCCTGCCGTAGAAGAATCCGGCCCAGTGCGTGCTGCCATTGGGTGAGGCGTGAGTGCACGCACACGGAGTGGCATCTGGACTGCAGCCATGTGGCACGCGTGTGCGAGAGCCCGTGTGCAGGTGCACCGCCGTTTCCCCAACACCTGTTTCCTCTTGTTTAGATCTGGGCCCCCTCTGAAGGCAGGCAAGACCCGGACCTTCTACGGCCTGCACCAGGTATGGGATGGCCGTGCGTGGGGTGGGCCCCGGGAGCACCTGCTGTGTGCCCAGGCTGTGGCTGCCTGGGCGTGCTGAGCACCAGCGTCACGAGGCTGTCCCGGCAGGCTGTGAGGAGGCAGTTGCTGTCCTGCATCTCTGGCACGCCTCTAGCCGAAGCCTCTCTCTGTTCACTCCTGGCCCTGTCTTACGTAGCATTCTCTGCGGGATCAGCCTGGCCCTGTCTTACGTAGCATTCTTTGCGGGATCGGCCTTACTCTGCATTTTAAACCCACCAGCTATAAAACGTTACAAGACACAGGGCTTAAAAAATTACCGCATCCACTTTCTCAGCGCCCTAGGTCTGCGCTGAGGTGGAAGTAGCTGTGAGTCTGTCCCCTCGTGCCCTTCCCTCGCTGCAGACAGTGTTTGGGGAAGGCCAGGGGTTGATGTGTGTTTGTGGGCAGGACTTCCCCAGCGTGGTGCTAGTCGGCCTGGGCCAGAAGGCAGCCGGAGTGGATGAGCTGGAGAACTGGCATGAGGGCAAGGAGAACATCCGGGCTGCTGTTGCAGGTTAGTTTTCGCTTCCTGTTGGGCAGTGATACAGACCCTCAGGAGCTCAGGGCTCCCTCTGCGAGGCTGAGGCTCCCCCTGCCCTTGCCCCTCCGCTCTGCCGCGCTCACACAGGCCTTCGGCGGAGTCCCTGGCTGTGAGCTTCTTTACCCGCGAGTGCGGCTGTGCCCTTGTTGCCCTCAGCGCTGCGGCGGTGCATTACGGAGGCCGTGGTGTGTGGCTCTCCTCTGTTTTGTGATGCACCGTGGTGTGGATGCCTTAGATCATGTGGATCTGTACACCAGAGGCCGTGCAGGCAGCGTGGCGTGCTCCTCCCGCAGGTGATCCCGCGGGAGGTTTGCCAGCTTGAGGCGGGTGCTCTGAGGCACCGCGGAGCTGGGCGAGCAGCAGGATAGACCTTTGCCCGGCACTGTGATTGAAGGCGCTCTGACAGCGTCCCTGAGGCGGGGCGGCGGCTTGGTTCTCCGTCCTGTGCACACATGTGGCTGCTTGTTACACTCCCTCTCAAAGTTCGAGCTACGCGATTATTTCATCACTTTACTGGGCATTTTGCTGACCTGCTCTATAAAATGCTGAGTTAATAGTGGACTTTGCTCAGATCCTGGGAAGGACTCACCGTCATCATTTCTCGGTCGTTTTTATCCTGGGAAACTTTTGGAGGTTGAGAAGCCTCATCAGGAAACCGTGGTGTTCACAGTGAGGCTGGTCACGACTGGCACTTCCCGAGCTGGCTGTCTGGCCTGTGCCCACTCCCAGGCACGAGGCACAGCCATGCCTTCTGCTCCCAGAAGAGCAAATGGAGGCCGACCAGTCGGGGGCCAGCGGGGTGCGGCCACCTGTGTCGGTGCAGGGCACGCCACCCTGCCTCTGCCACCCCGCCTCTGCCACCCCGCCCTCTGGCTGGTCCTGCTCTGTCTTCCTGCCCTGTGGAAGGGGGTGCAGCCCTGTCCTCTGGCCGACCTCCGCCCTCTGCCCCGTGGATGTGGGGTGTAGCCATGCCCTCTGCTGATCCCACTCTGCCCCGTGGGCGTGGGGTGCAGCATGCCGTCTGGCTGACCTCCCTCCCTCCGTCCCGTGGAAGCGGGGTGCAGGCAGGCCCAGGAGCTGGAGCTGCCGTCTGTGGAGGTGGACCCCTGCGGAGATGCCCAGGCGGCTGCGGAGGGAGCTGTGCTTGGCCTCTATGAGTACGACGACCTGAAGCAGAAGAAGAAGGCGGCCGTGTCGGCGGAGCTCCACGGAAGGTGAGGGGGCGGCTGGGGAGCTCCACGGAAGGTGACGGGGCGGCCCTGGTGTGAGGACCGGGTCGTGGGACGCTGCCCTGGGTTTCGTGCCATGGTTTGTCTCCTTCCTGCTGCTGCAGCCCCGGCAGTGGGTGGCGACTGCACCTCCTGTCCCAGCTCCGGCCGAGTCCTGGGTGCCCACTAGGTCCAGGAGGGTCTCCCCACGTCTCCCGAGCCCACGTGCCCACTAGGTCCAGGAGGCCACATAGGAGCTGGCTCCTGCAGAGGGGAGGAAGCATGTGACAGCGTAGCCAGCAAGGTCTATCCTGGCTGGTTCCAGCAGCGCGGCAGCTGCAGGCTCAGCCCAGGGCTCGGGCCTCCCACGTGGCTGACTCGTCGGCCTGAGGTCCAGGCAAGGTCGTGGCTGGTGGGATTGTCCCAGGCCACTGCCTGGGTGGGGACTTTGGAGACTGGATCGTCCCAGCCTGCAGTGTAGGCGAGGCCTCGGCTGTGTCCCAGCCCTCCCTCGATTCTGGGGGACGGGTGCCTGCCTGCTTTGCGAAGGGAAAGGTGCCAGGGAGCACGGCGAGGCCGAGGCCCAGCCTGGTGGGGCACCGTGAGACCCCTGTCCCCTCAGGCGGCCTGGTCAGCGCCTGCAGTCTCTCTTGCCTCACGTCCTTGGTTAGTGGAGTTGCGAGCTGAGTCAGGCTTTTAGGCGACTCATCTAGTCATGGCCCGTGGGAACCCCGGGAACTGCTGGCTGCTCCTTGTCTGCCTAGTGGGGCCGCGTCGACCCCGCTGTGCACAGGGCTGGGATGGTGGCCCGATCCCGCCTCTGAGGCTGAGCTCGCCCTCCGGGGAGTGGACCCGGGAGCCACGACCTGACCGTTGCGTGTCAGAACTGCCTGGCGCCAGCGGGCCGCACTTCCCAGGAGCCTCTTCACGGGCCCAGGTGGAGCAGAGCTCAGACCCCCACAGCAGCCGCTCCACATGGGGCTCTGCAGAGAGACATCCCCAGGCCTCACCTGCACGGGCTGTTCCTGTCCCCCCTCACTGCAGCCCGGGGTGTCCGCCTCCCTCTGGAGCCCCGTTTTCTGATGGCTCGCTGGCTGGATTTGAGGATGCGAAGCCCTTCCAGCTTCGCGGCGGTCGGCCAGCGTGCTGAGAGGCCACCTGGCAGTGACCCAGTGTTCTCTGTGCCCAGTGGAGACCAGGAGGCTTGGAAGAGAGGGGTTCTCTTTGCTTCGGGGCAGAACTTGGCCCGCCAGCTGATGGAGACGCCAGCCAACGAGATGACACCCACCAGGTTTGCGGAAATCATCGAGAAGCACCTCAGGACTGCTAGCAGTAAGACGGAGGTCCACATCAGGTACGCAGGCCTCCCGCACTCGCTGGGCGTCCAGGAGGGGCCTGGGCCTCCAGGCCGGCTCCCTCACCTTCCAGAGGAGTTGCTGGAGACTGGAGGGAGGTGACCCAGCAGAGGCCGCGTGGGCTGGGGCAGGGCTCTGTTCAAGTGTCTTTCTAACCTTTCCTCGCCTTCTGAGAGGATGCGTACCTTCCCGCTGCAGTGTGTGTATTTGCGTGTATGCGTGTGTGTGCATGTGTGTGCATGTGAGTGTAAGCTTTATTGAGGCATAATTCCCATGCCACATGGTGCACCCAGGCGGTGTTTTCCCCTGGGGGGCAGGGAGCATTTTTGTATGCAAATGCTCTCAGGGCCATCCCTAGCGAAGCTCACAGAAGCACATTTCTGCGTGGTCTGAGGTCCCTGTGCTTTTTCAGATGAGGCTCTCCACACCTTTGGAGGTTGACCTTGGAGGTTGACTGGCACTTGCCCTCCCTGAGGGTGTGCTCAGTGTGGAAGCTGTTTCTTGGAGAACTTCCTTTACCAGAAGTCCTCGGTGGCCCTCACTACGCGGAGACTTCCCCTTTTTTGGAGACTTCCCCTTTTTCCGGAAAGCCGGCTGGACGGGTCAGGGACAGGGTCATCTGCAGAACACTTGGTGCCTGGGCCGGGCTTCCAGCAGGGGCATCGCCTCTGACTCCATGGCCACCTAGGCTCCGCTCTGCGAGGACCGTGGCCAGGCTGTCCCAGGTCCCGAGTGCAGAGCTGCTAGGGCGCTGTGACAGCCAGTCCAGATGTCACCACACATCCTGACACTCAGGCCTGGCTGGGAACAGGGCCCGTGTGGTGGGTCCTGTCCTCGAGGAGGGCCAGAGTGTGATGGGGAATCTAAGCAGAGCCGTGTTCTGGTGAGGAGGCAGGAGTGCAGAGGGTCCTGGGGAGCGGCTGGGCAGAACCTGTGGGTGGGATGGGGCTCATTAAACTGAGCTGTCTCCCAGAAGGGCAGGGCTGGAAGGAAGCACCAGGTGCTGAGTATGAGATTAAAATGCCCACACCCTGTAGCTTTGTTTCTTTTGAAGAGACCTTGTTTTTTTTTAATTGCCCTATTTTGCATCTTTATAGTGCTTTCCCTCTGCAGCGTGGTCATCCCCCTCCAGGTGGAGTCCTAGTTTATTGGCTGCAGCAGGTGCGGGGTGGGGTGGGGGGCGTGGCTGCGCACCTGTCTGTGGGAGGGTAGAGTTTCGCCCTTTATGCCCCGCCTGGACAGAAGGGCAGTGTGGCATCAGGTTTCCAGTCCACACTGAGCGCTCTCTGATTGGTACCCACAATGCTCCTGCGTCATTTTTTCTTTCTTTTTGAGAGATTTTTGCTATAAGGCGTGTGCACTTGCCAGAGAGACAGAGACAAAAAGAGAGAAAAAGAGAGAAATCACTCCCTAGGGGAATGGCCATGCTGCAATCTCTTCTCCTCCATTCTCCTCTGGGGATTTTGGACATGTATGCACAAGTTTCAAGCCTCCAGGTCTGGGACTCGAACTGGGTTTGGCATGTGGGAGTCTAGCGACGTAACCGTTGTACCATCTGCTGGTGCCATGCTCCCGTGCTTATTAAGAAAGAAAAAATTAGTTTTCTTGCTTCAATTAAAGATGTCCCAAACTGCAAATGAAACTGAGAAATAATGTGAACATTGAAAGGATACAATTCCAACTTCCTAAAATAGTGAAGGAAAGTATTTTATTCTGGTCAGTGGAGTATAGCTGTGTTGACTTTTTTTTGGGTCATCTTTAGAAATACCAAAAATAGGGACCAGCAGATAGCGTAATGGCTACGTCGCTGGACTCCCACGTAGTTGACCATAGTTTGAGTCCCAGACCTGGTGGCTTAAACTCATGCCAGGTGCATGTGTGTGCGTGCCCAAGGTCCCAAGAGGAGAATGGAGGAGAAGGGATTGTGGCGTGGCCATCCCCCCTGGGGGGTGATTTCTCGCTTTCTGTGTCACTGTCTCTTTCTGGTGAGCGCACGTGCCCTACAGCAAACCCCCCCCAAAAAAGATACCAAAAATAGAGAAAGGGACCCCTTAACTATCTGTAAGCGCTCCTTAAGGTCTCAGAGCTTTGCTCACTTCATCTTTAGATTAACGATTTATTCACTGTGCGCTCTTACCTGACATTGCATTAGGACCACACACAGTCTCTTCCTCGTCCTGTGACCTGTTGGCGGTGGCATTAGTCAGCCTCTCTTATGGATGAGGACGAGCTCTGAATCGTGTGACTTGCCCAGAACAGACGCGACCCCTGACCCCGACGTGTGCGTGCCGTCGGAGCGTGTATTTCTTACACGCCGATGAACTTCTCAGTTATTTTGAAATAAAGGAACCAGCGTGTGTGCGTGCATGCCTGCGTGTGCACATGTGCATGCGTACACATACGTGTACATATGCATTTATATCCCCCCTTTCTGCCCCGTAGACCCAAGTCTTGGATCGAAGAACAGGGAATGGGCTCATTCCTCAGTGTGGCCAAAGGGTCTGACGAGCCCCCGGTCTTCCTGGAAATCCACTACAAGGGCAGCCCCAAGGCCGAGGAGCCGCCGCTGGTGTTCGTGGGGAAGGGGATCACCTTCGACAGGTACCGTGGCCCAGTGGGGAGGCAGGCAGGAAGTGCAGAGCGTGCCCCGGCGGGGAGGCCACGGCTCAGCCCCTCTCCATCCACATGTGCCCGTGTTTCCAAGCTGCCGAGTCTGGACACTAACTGTGCAGTTGACCGTGCAGGGTCCAGCTGCCTTAGTCACCGCACCGCCACTGGCCCACCTACCGAATATTTGTTCTTTTTAAAACGTGACCTTGGGGGTCAGCAAGGGGTGTGGTTAAGGCGCTGGAGTCCTACATGGCTGACTGCAGCTTGAACCCTGGACCCAGTGGCTGGAAAATCACGCCAAGCGTGTGTGCGTGTGTGCGTGCGTGCCCAAGATCTGCAGGGGAGAAGGGAGGGGAAGGGACTGGCCTGGCCATCCCCCGGGGGTCTCACTTTCCCTCCCCGGTGAGCACCTCCCCTGCGGCGGAAACGGACTTGAAACAAGGTGGCCGTGGAGGTCTTGGCCGCTGACCTGTCTGTCCTTCGGCCCCAGCGGCGGCATCTCCATCAAGCCCTCCGCGAACATGGACCTCATGAGGGCCGACATGGGCGGGGCGGCCACCGTGTGCTCAGCCATCGTGTCTGCCGCGAAGCTCCACCTGCCCGTTAATGTCATCGGTGAGCGGGGCCGGCTGGGGCCACAGAGCTCTGGGTGGCAGGGCCGGTCTGGGAAGAGGGAGGGACTCTTGTGCACGCAGAAGCTGCTGCGCTGAGGTTGGGGCTCCCGGTCTGAGCGAGCGTCGCAGCCAGCAGGCGCTGACAGAGCAGAACGGCCCCTCTCGCTTCGCAGAGAGGTTGGCGGCCATGGGCCCTAAGGCTGAGCTTGCGGTTTGTCCAGTGGGACGCCCCGGGGTTGGGCTCCTTCACCTGCTGCCTCGTGGGATGTAGCAGGCCGAGGGCCCGAGGCCCAGACAGTGCCTGGGACAGGGAATGCTCCGAGTACCACGGGGCGCAGCTCCGAGCCGACCGCAGCTCTGGCGCCGTCTTCTGAGGGGTAGAGACCAGGCTCGGCCCCTCGCCTGTCTCACGTCCGTGGCACGGGGAGGTAGAACCGGGCCCCACCCCGTTATCAGCCCGCCATAGTAGTTCTTTCTGTCAGTGTGATGTCACCCTGAGTACTGAGCATGTGTCCTGACGTGTCCCACGTGACTCAGGACCTAATCCAGCGCCACTTGATTTGTTCCTACAGTCTCCATCTGGGAGCCACCAGGGGTCAGGCATTGTCCCTTAGTGTCGGTTAACCTAGCGCGCTGGTCCCGCCCTGTTCTTCCTGACCTTGGTGGCTTTGCGGGGTCCAGGCCTGCCTCGTGGGGTCCACAGTTGGTCTCTTGGGCTGGCAGGAAAGCCATGACACATGGTTGATAGGAAAGCGTGGCATGCCTTCCTGACGGCCTCCTGTGACCTTGAGCAGAGTCTGCTTAGGCTGGTGAGAAGGCCGCGTGGGTGCCGGGAACCCGTGTCTGGCCGAGATGGCACTGGTGGCGGTGGCTGTCCCGTGTGCCCCACGCCCCTCATGTGTACTCTCCCAACAGGTTTGGCTCCACTCTGTGAGAACATGCCGAGTGGCAAGGCCAACAAGCCCGGGGACGTCGTGCGGGCCAGGAACGGGAAGACCATTCAGGTCCGTAAGGGGAGGGCGTGGCACTCCCACCTGGCTCTTCCCGTGGGAGCCCGTGGCCCCAATTCCACGGCTCGAATGGGGGGGAAGGCTGCGCTGGGTAGGGGGCGGCACCCAGGGGCCCCTAACACCGAGTTTGTGTGTGTTCATGCTGAGTAATTTTCACGCAAGGCGAAAAGCATTTCTCTGGGGACTTCCGGAACGTCCCCACTCGGTGCACACACACAGCTTTCGCAGCAGGCCTGTGAGCTCGGCAGTGCAGAGAACGTGGGCCGTCTCCTGGGTGCACGCCGTCTGTGCTGTGGTGGGGTGCAGGAGGGCTCTGCCCTGGGGGTGGCACCTGTGTGCCTGTGTGCGCACGAGCCCCTAGCCCGGGGCTGCTGGTGCACAGAGCCCCTGGGTGGGGTCCCAGCTGCCACGTCCTTCAGCTCCCAGTTCCCAGCCGTCCCCCATCACCGGTGCCGGGCTGGTAATTAACCCTGCTCTTCATTACACCTCGGCCCCGCTCTTCTCATTTTTAATATTTCTTCACATTTTACATAAAGTCTCCATCATGACGTATACAATATATATGTTTTTTCAACAGAGCACTTTTCTGTTAGGCGTCTTCCCCTGCACCTCACGTCCACCCCGTCCGCCTGTCCCGCTGCTCCCCTCCCTCACTCTACCTGCCCTCGTCCTCTCTCCCTTCCCAGTGTCACATTCCTCAGTGTCTGCGTGGGGTGCGGGGACGTGTGCAGGCCGAGCGGGGACGTGCAGTGTGTGTCTGCGTGGGGTGCGGGGGCGTGTGCAGGCCGAGCGGGGACGTGCAGTGTGTGTCTGCTTGGGTGCGGGGCG